GACTCGACGGCACATAACAACAACAAAATCTCTATGGAAGTAGATTGCTCAATCTTCCTTCTGAGGAGTGGCTGGTGGGTTAGAACCGCCAGCCTTCTGGTTAGCAGTCAAATATGTTGGGTGCTTGATTTTTCCTTATCAATTTGGATGACTTTTATTTCCCTTTCTTGCCTTACAGCCCTGGGTAGGACTAACAATACAATATTAAATAGAAGTGATAATAGAGAACATCCTTGTCTGTTTCCCATTCTCAGAAGCAAAGCTCTCAGTCTCTCTCCATTAAGAATAATGTTGGGTATTGTTTTTGAGTGGATGCATTTTATTATGTTGAGGAATTTCCCTCCTGTTCCTACTTTTCTGAGAGTTTTTATTAGGATTGGGTGTTGGATTTTATCAAATGCATTTTCTGCATCCATTGATACTATCATGTGCTTCTTTTCCTTTCTTTTGCTAATGTGATAGATTGAATTGATTGTTTTTCTAATGTTGATTCATCCTTGCATACCAGGTACAAATTCTACTTGGTCTTTTTTTTTTTTCTATGTGGTGTTGGAGTCTATTGACTAAGATACTTTATGAAGATTTTTGTATCTAGATTAATGTAGGATATTGGTCTGTAGTTTTCCTTTCTAGTAGCGTTTTTGCCTGGTTTTGATATTAGGTTTATGCTTGCTTCATAAAATGAACTTGGGAGGATTCTATACTTTTCTATGTTCTGGAATAGTTTGAGAAGAGTTGGTGTCAGCTCTTCTCTGAATAGATATGGTAGAATTTTCCAGTGAAGTTTGTCTGGGCCAGGACTTTTTCTGTCAGTAGTTTTTTTTTTTTTTTTTTTTACAACCTATTCAATTTCTTTTTTCTTTTTCTTTTTTTGTTATGGATCTGTTCAAATTTTTGAACTTTGTCTGTGTTAGTTTAGGTAAATAGCATGTTTCTAGAAATCTTTCCATTACTTCTAGATTTTCAGATTTACTAGTGCAGTTCTTCGTAGTATGCTGATATTATCCTTTTTTTTTTTCCAGTTGGCTCTGTCATTACATCACTCATTTCATTTCTCCTTTATTAAATTTGCCAGTGATTTGTCAATTTTTAAAATCACTTTGAAGAACCAACTTATAGTCTTGATTATTTGTACTGTTTTCCAATATTTTATTTCATTTATTTCTGTTTGAGTTTGTACTATTACTTTTTCTGTTGATTGTAAGCTTTCTTTCTTTTTTTTTTTTTTGCTATTTTTCTAATTGTTGGAGATTTTGGACAAAGGTGTTTATTTTGGCTCTTCTTCTTTTATTTTTATTTTTATTGTGATTTGAGTGAAAGTTTACACAGCAAATTCACTTTCCATACAGCAGCTCCCATACACTTTGTCTCATGACATTGACTGCAATTTACCACAATGCAACAGCTCCCTTCCACCTTCCTCCCCATAATTACCTCTTCCCTATGTCCTTCCCTCCATGCACCCTTGCCCCTGAGCTGTCTCCCTGTGCATACACAGCCCTTCTATTCTCCCATGATTGTTCTCTCCA